CAATCAATCTAAATAGTAGCATTTGGACATAAGGTAACTTCGAACTACTGTAAATGACGATCAATATTTCTGAATAGAATCAATACAAGTCATAGATAACATCAAGAAGTGCCATAATATGAAATAGTAACATAGCATTTAGAATGCCATACTCTCTTTTTCATATAAGCAATTTAACTCAAGATGGTGACGCTTTGAGATTTTATTCAACTCTATATTGATTGAACAATAATATAAAAAAGACTAATCCAAAGTATCTCCCACGATAAATTAGCTAAGTGGCCATCAATGATTTTTGGTTTATTTGCTTCTATATAACTAATCATTCTAATGACTTTAAGGTTTAATATTTTATGAACAAAAGAGTACCACTTTAAATTGTGAATGGATGACTATTGGTTAATTAATCGATCTAGTAAAGCTTAAGTACGGGGTTCGAAGCCGTAGCACATATATTGATAGTAGTGACTAACTCGAGAGAAATTGATATATAAAATAACTTGTCAAATAAGAGTAGTGCTAATTGCAATCGTTCACTGCAGTAATCGTCCTCTGTGGCAGTTAGTAATTTGATATATTAATATGGTAATTTTTTTTATTACTTTATATAACAAATTACTAATCGTCACATGTATGCCATATATGACGACTACGATGGTAAGCAATTGCAAATAACATTATTCGTCAAATAAATTTTCTCTAGTGTATAAAAAAAAAAGAGTCTATGGTCCGCTTTTCTTAATTATTTAAAATGTCATAATATTTATTAGACTAAGTGTCAAGAGAGGAAAATGTTATCAACGAATAAAGGTCGAGGATGAAAACAAAAAATAGATAATAATTTTTGACCCTATTTGAAATTTTTTTCATTAATTAATTATCACGAAACCCTTCAAATATATCAGTAAAAATGTTTTGTTTTCCATTAACATTCATAATTTTTAAAATAGAACATAGAACTATAGGTGCAATCAAATGATCCTACCTTAATTAATAGCTTCTAGTAAAGTGAAATCATGAAAATAATCGATCAATGCATCCAATATCTTGTGGGTGACCCGTATTCTTACATGTGATAATTCAAATGTCTTTATCATTTTCGCCAAATTCATGCACCCAAAGGATTAGGAGATAAGGCTATATAGCTACTCCATTTCTTTATTTATGTAGTCTTTTAAATTCTAGAAGTATTCAAATATGAATTGAATAATACTCTTTGCAGTCCCACACTATCGTAGTCATCTTATATGACATACATTTGACGGCTAGTAAATTGAATGATAGTTTTGTTTATTATTTTATGCAATAAATCACTAACCACAATATATATGCTACGTAAAAAGATTGTGGTAGTAAGCGACTTCAAATAGCATTATTCATATGAATTAGTTGCTTTAGGATTTATTTTTTATTTTGGGGGGGAGGTGTGTGGATATCATGGCGTGTTAAATGAAATTGGTTGTGGTTCTTGTCATTTTACACCTGTTTTGATGATGAAGTCGTTCATAAATTTGTTTCATTGGCAATTAATTCATGTATGAAAATATGTGAACTCATTGTATTTTGATTTCAATTTCGTCTGAAGTTTGCGACGACATAAGTTAATAAATTCCTTTGTTTTCTTGCAAAAGAAATATTAATTCATTTGCAATAATCTAGGTTGCTTGACCATTCAGTATAATAATGTTATTTGAAGTCTCTTACTACCGTAGTTGTCCTACACTACATACATGTGGCGGCTAGTTATTTGATGCTTAAAACAATAAAAAACTACGACATTATTATGTCAAATCACTATCCCAACATGTATGCCAGTAAAGCGAAAATATGATATTGAGCGACTACAAATAACATTAATCTTTTTAATAAAAGCTTGGATAAGATATAAAAGTTATTAAAATTAGTTTTAAAGAAAAAGAAAAAAAAAAGCATTGAAATATTATTTATGTCTCAAAATGGTAGAATTTGACTAAGATATGTTTAATTCAACCAGAACCAACTTGAGATAATCTAAGAAAAACTCATCCTGGATTTGCATATAATTCCTAAATATATCTGAAAATTGAATTGAATGTACCTTCGAAAAGAAGACTTTTAAGAGGGCTCTTCTTAATAGCACTATGATTTTCAATTTGTAATTTGAGTACTTAATATTAATTTCCATAGTATTGGAGTCCCCACATGTAGAGTCCATCAAACTCTCTGTTAAAACGTCAAATGCATTTCATTAGGCACGTGATTCATCGAAAGAAGAGAAAAGTCACTTTCCCGGGTTTCATGTGATATTTTTCACCCTTCTTGATAAGATTTGTGGTTCCATTTTAAAAGGTCAATATTGTTAAGAAAAGTAATCCAAATCTTTATAAATTGGTCTTCGTTTTCATCTTTATTCAATGTGAAATTATATCGCTTAACATGCCTCGACAAAATTGTCACTATTTTTAGCAGATTTTTGGTGCAATCCGTGTCCCAACCACTCCCTTTTCAACGTAGCCCTTCCCCCCTCATTTCTTGTCATTCTATTTCCCATCACGACCCCCCTTTTGCCATCCCTTTTTCTCTTTGTAGTGACAAGGCAGGGTGGGGAACTGAAAGATTAGTAGATGGGTTAGTAAAAAGAGAAGATTTTTTTTTCCTTGAATTTTGAATCTTCTATTGAAAAGAAAGTGATGTGTAATTGTCCTCTTATTTAGTTTTTTGGTCACTTGCTAAGCAATCAATCAGATGGATTTTTCAACACAATTCATAAATTAGGACCCAAATATTACAAAGTTATTAATTTAAATTTAAATACCAAGACATCATATAAAAACAATTGTTGGATAACAATCGACTTGCATCACTCGATAATACAACTTGAGTAATTTAACTTGAACCGATCCTTTCTTCTAGGCTTTAAAGAGAAAAAAAGATCCATTGAGATCAAATGAGTTGCCTAGTAATAGTTTTATTTGATTTCATTCCCACTATATTTAAACATAACATAGAGGAATAATACAAGAAAACTACATTCTTGGTTACAATTCATTTAATTGTATATTTACAAACATTTAATTTGTAGTGATCCAGACAATAGCCAATTGTAGTGATAAGAATACCTGAAAATCATAATTATAAAGGGCCATTGCACGCCACATTATTCGTGGAACTTGTTCCCTATTATTAGACAAATTAAACGCCAGACCCCTAAGCCAACTAATTGGAAACAACTAATAGTGGCTTAGTGGGTCCAATAATTATTTTCTTTAAATATTTTTTATATTCTATTGAAAAAAAAAAATTAAAAATAAGGGTTGAACCGCGGCCGATTTACCTTTATAGATCTAAATGTAACTCAATGTTTTCATATCTTTATACATTTTCTTGGATAGTCGTAACTTAGAAATAAGGATTAATAAATGGATAGTTATATTGTCATCATATTTCATTTTTTAATTGCATTGAAGATCTTTAACCTTTGCTTATTGTCATATTAGCATCCAAAGTTTTTTAGCTGCATTCTTATCATTAACCTTTCATTAATTAGTATGTTTTGTCTATGCAGATTTCCAATCAAAAAGTCGGTCTTGAGGGCGTAAAGAGACTTAATTGCCCAACATCAAGTTTTATAGGGGCTCATTCCTCATTTTTAAATAAGAAAAATGAAAAACAAATACAAAAATTTACAATAATATCTGCTCATCATTTTAATTCAAGCTAAAAGTATATTTGGACATAAATCATATCATCCACTAGATGTGCAATTCAATAGAATAACACAACAACAAAAAAAGGAAAGAACATAATTGAGACAATAAAAGAAGATTGGGGACAATAATTTAAATAAAAAGGAATGCAACAAAAAGGAAATTTTTGATATCAATATAATGACCTGGATAAATTTCATGAAAAAATCAATAGGTTTCTTCTCCACAATCATTAGTGGACTATATATGGGGACAAAGTGTTTATTAGACTTATAAGTAAAATCATCTACAGATGGATTAAAAAATTAAGGGTATATTCGATAGTGATGATGAGAATTGATTTTTTGATCGTTAGAGAAAAAAGTTGGTTCTATCAGTGAGAAAAGAAGTCCAAAATGACGGAATGAATAGTGAAATAATGGTAAAAAAAATTGATTTTTTAGGATGAAAAATTGCTACCAAACGGAGGCTAAAAAGCGATCGGTGCAAAATATAATTGATGGATTTTGACTCATTATCTAACAAGGAAAAAATAATTCATCTCAAAGAAAGCTCAAGTTGACTATAAAAATGTTACCAGGCAAAAGGACAGAAGGTTTATGTTAATCATGCAGACATGACTGATTATATTATCTTAATCATGTAGACAAGTTGATATTTGTGTTGCTTGACTTATAAAGGGGTGTTCTTGATTAGAAATTTATTCAGTTTTAATGGAAAACTATTTGAAAACCCATTAAAGCTTTCAAATTTTGCACATCAACTATAGCTAATTTTCGAAATATATGTACCATGCAAAAAATAGAAATATTAAAAGAAACGCATAGAGAAATCAAATAAGAATATAAACTTTCAATACTACATGAAAAAATAGGTAAAACAAAGATTTCGTCGAGAAAAGTTAAAAATGACAAGTCGATTTCTTCTTCTTACATTGAATATAGTAAATTTAAACATAAACCCACATTTTTTTTTCCTTCAATTAACATGACTAGTTACTAAGTTGGATTGATAAATGTTTATGATTGACATTCATTTGATAATATACTTTAATAAAATAGGTACATATTGATTTATTCATCCCTTATATGATATTTGGTACAATAAATTAGAAGGTAATTACATAATAAAAAATGATACAAAATTAAAATATTATCCATTTTATTTTTCAATGCTCCTATCACGTACACTTAACATGGTACTCCAAATATAATACCTTTATATGCTATTCTTAATCTCCATCTAGTGTTTGGCATTGTCACAGGACTAGAGAAGCTAAATCAATGGTCTAACAGCTTGTTAGAGAAAATTTGTAATTTTTTACCCACCCCACCACATGCCACCCCACGCCTTTTGGCCTTGTTAAAGCAGGTTTAAAAATGGTTGATCAGGTTGCTGGTTAGAGCAATATAAAACCAAAGCGCATAAGGGGTTAAGATTTAAATAGAGATGGAGCATTAGCAAAGGAATCTTGTGTTTATATATGTAAAAGCTTTCTTTGTTTGGTGTCATTTTGGAATACTAAAGCCTCTTGTCCTTTCAAATTGCTTTAATTCTGTCTTCTTCTACTTCACTAATTTGTTCTTGAGTTCAGTTCAATTTCATGGCGTTTCTCTTAGTAGACAGTTTACCACACAAGAATAGCAGATTTTGTATCGCGATTAAGGCCTTGGAGCTTCTGCTTTTATCAGCAGGACTTATTTCTACTCTGCTGATGGTTAAAGGATCCTTGATGCCTTATTCGTGTGAAATGGTTGTTTCGAGTCTAGTGGGATTTTGGAAGTTCTGCAAATGCTTCTTGTCTTCTCATCTCTACATATGCATAATCATCAACTTCATGGTCTTGTTGATAGCAGCTTCTTCCTGTCTACAACGACACGAAACTGATAATCATGATGCTGGTGTTGATGTTGACGAGGATATGCAAATCGATAAATCTCCTTTGGTATCACCGCCACCAGCACCACCACCACAGCTCCAGAATCAGAACCAGAATCGGGATTTTACTGAAATGGTAGCGCCACCACCAACGACGGAAGCGAAGACAACTTTATACCAAGGTGATCATAATCCTCCACAAATTTGGCAAGATGTTATAGATCAAATTCTTGTTGATGAAAAATTTGAGGAATTTTCATCAGGATCATTTACTGATGAAGGTTTAGCTGAAACTATAGAGAGAGCCATGAAAGAGGAGAAAGAGGTACAGTTAGAAAATAATGAAGAAGAAGATACAATGGAGGCAACATGGATGGCAATAACTGGTGGAGGAAAACATAAGGCTACAAAGGAGCAACTGAAGAAGAGTGAGACATGGAACATGGCACCACGAAGGAGGGCAGTGGCAATGGCAGTAGCAGTGCAAAGCCTCGACCCGGAGGAATTGTTGCCATCAATTCCAGCATCTTGGAAAGAGCTAAGGAAATCAGAGACGTTTAACGACGCATTTTCAATAAGGCAACGAGGTGGTTTAAGGAGGGATCCTTCAATGAGTGTGGATGAATTCAACAAACAAGTCGAGGCCTTCATCAAGAAATTCAATGCCAGTATGCGGTTACAAAGGCAAGAATCCGATCAGAGATTCAAAGATATGATCAATCGAGGACTGTAGATTCTACTAATCACTTATTGCGTGTTTGGATTGATCTGATGAGTGAAATAGTCAAGATTGTTCTTCTCTTTCTTTGTTCATGTTGAGTACTATCCTATCCTTCGTACCAAACATGCCATTAATCTGTCTAATATCACCACGTCTCATTAATTTTGCTATTCCTTTCATCAGGTGACATTATGTATTTCTTTTTTTTACTGTGTGCGCTTTGTGTATGCATTTCAATAATCAAGATTGTAGAATCTTTCTATATTGTACTATATAATTGATGTTTGCCAATGCTTTTTATATGTATAAAATAAATTCTGAATGTATTAACATTCTTGGCTCCCTTTATTATTCTAGTATGTACTCGCATCTTCACAATTACATAACAAACATCAGAATTTTCATTTGGGAGAACGAAATTTCAACAAAAGCATCCATGGCCATTAGAGCAGAAGATTATCAAGCTTTTCCCGAGATTAGTTTATCACTTAGCAGAATATCATTCTACTGGTAATAGTAGTATCAAACTAGGGAAGGATGCTTCCTTTTTAGCCTTTTCTCTTTGTTATGTTTGGTAATCAATTATTGCCTGTTTGGATTGATCTGAAATAATCAAGATTTTACCTTCTCTTTATTCATGTCGAGTACTATCCTATCCTTCATACCAAACATGCCATTAATCTGTCTAATACCACCACAAGTCTCATTAATTTTGCGATCCCTTTCATCAGGTGATATAACGTACTTTTTTTAACTATATGTGCATTGTGTGTGCATTTCAATAATCAAGATTGCAGAATCTTTCTATATTGCTACACATAAATTATAATTGATGTTTGGCAATGCTTTTTATATGTATAAAATAAATTCTGAATGTATTAACATTCTTGGCTCCCTTTATTGTTCTATTAAACTGTCCGTAAAGCATCTCCACAACTACCTACCAAACATCAGGATTTTCATTTGGGAGAACGACATTTCAACAAAAGCATCCATGGCCATCAGGGCAAAAGATTATCGAGATATTGTGCCATTTAGTCTTGTCTAATACTGCATACTGAATATATTCCAAATGACTTTAGGATATTGTAGTCTGGTTTATATTACCATCCACTCCGGTCTAATGTTACATACGGAACGTATTCCAAATGATTATAGGATGTTGGATTCTCGTCTATTGTATAATCTAGTCTAATCATGTCTAATGCAGCCTATTGATGATAGCAAATGGTTCCAGGATTGATTGATTTATTTAAGAGTTTTATGACATGATTCTTGATATGACATAACAAATAATAATGAAGCTCCAACAAACCTTTTAGAAAATCATTCAGCTGTAGGGAACAAACTGGGAAAGAAGGTGAATAATTGAATGTAGTGGTCTTAAAAAATTAAAGTGAACCATATGCTGGCAGGAAATTATTTTCTTCAGTTCAAGTTATATATAATCTATCCAGAAGCTTTAATCTTTTTTCTTATCAGCCTTTAAGTATATGATTATTGATAAGAAATATAACAATCATATCATTTGCTGGTTAATTTATCATTTATTACTTTTTTGACTCATTAATAAATAAAAAGTTCAATTCCTACAATGATTTAAGTGCTAATACTACAAACTTCTAGGACAAACTAACGCACATGTTTTCAAGCAACTAATGTCAATTCTTGTATATATAAACATACGTGCCAATTTTCGTGAGTAGGGAAATTACAATTCAAATAACTAATATACATGAAGTTAGAATAAAGACATTCTATCGATCCTTTTTTTTTTTTTTTAATTAATAATGATCATCTTAGTAGTGTACAAGTGTCCTACAACGATGAACTAGTGAATGAGTAATACCTAGAATCCACATGTAGACCACGTTGGCAAGCGAACGCCACATTGGTGCAGGGTTCCACATGCCATGTGCCTCGCTATGGCCTTCGCCCAATTGGAATGAATCAAATCACGATCCTTGCATCATATGGTAGATCATCTGTTATGGTCTTCACATGAAGTTGTAACAATGCTAAGCTCCACCTTTAGGTGAGGCACGATGACTTGTTAATGGCAAGAAACCCATGGTCATCTAAAGGTCAAATTGGAAAGATGAATCCCATCAACCCCTGAAAGTTAGCACTGTCAACATTATTAGTCCTTGCAAATCAAGACAAGATCACACATTTTCAAAACTTTGGCCAAATCTTTGGTTATTTGTCTCTCCACACCTAATTTTCTATGTATTCTCTTATTCCGATAGTTGACTTGAACGTTGGAGTGCGAATATAGTTGATCCATTTTTCTTGATTTGGTGATCTTGGTGCCTAACGATTTGTGCAAGAAACATATAGGTAGGCAAGTACGTGATGGAAAAAAAATTGACAACAAAGTTGCGCAGGTTTTTGAGGTCAATAAATTAACATCATCTGAGGAAAATTTAATATTGAAGTTACAATAAAAAAACATATGGAAAAGGAATCCATGTACATGCTACCTATATGTTTCTTGCACCCTCAAAAGAAGCCAAAGATGAAATCCTAAAGTTAAGGTCACCAAATGCACCTGCACGAGCTTAATGTTGCACCAAAAACTTGGAAAAATAGAAGAAAAGAAGAAATGTAGCAGCAAAAACACCAAAAATCTGAAAATAAGACTTGTAGGCGTAAACATTATCCTCAAATGATATTTGTCCTCTCTAGAATTATTTTTAATGCTTAAAGAGACTCGAGAAAAATGATTTGTAGAATTTAAACAAGCCTTTAAGAAGAAAATAAAACACTTGCATTTTCTTTTAAGAACTTGAAGAACACTTCTAAGGTTTAAAGTGTATATAAGAATTGGAAAAACCCTTTCAATGTTGAGATTGAATTATGATTTCTTGTATTTATAAATGGTAATCTATCACCTATTTATAGTTTTCCATTAATACACCAGAAAGAGTTACAATTATTCATGAAACGTTGAAACATTTTTCAAGAAAAACTCCATAAAATCAAATTGTGAAACAAGTTTAGTTTCACTAGCCATGTGCATGTATGGTAGTGAAACATGCATGCACATTTTGCAAAAGCAAACCATGTGCATGCATGGGCTAATTATTCAGCTTCAATGCCCACGTTTTGATTTAAAATTGATTTTCAATTCTTTCATCTATGATTTTGATTTTGATCAATTACGATAATCCTCCACTTGTTCAAAATTATATTTATCACAAATCCAAACCAGCAACACTTATGTATAAAGTTTAGATATCTTTCAATTTAAATCTAACCATAATATAATTTTCACAAAGTATAATTGAAATTATAGGTTGCAAATAGTTTTGACCCAGTTATTTCTTGTGATGATACCGGTGAAAATACACACACAAATTTCATATGTTTCATGAGTTCCTTAAAACTCACTTAGCGCTAATATGACTTTGCGCTTATTTTATTCGTTAAACTTTTAAGAGAAACATCGACTCTCTATTAAGGAGATATCACTTCAAAGTATATTTAGGTGAAGTTTTTTCAACATCTTTGTTACTTTTAAAGATATTTATACTTAGTACTAAACTTCATTAAGAGCTTAAAGCTCAACCCTCCCTTACGTAATAACCAATGTTATTTAATTAGGATATGATTCTTACGACAATTATGATGCTGACATTATAGACTAATTGAATGACTTACTATTACCATTTGAACCCTTGGATTACTATTTTAGTAATGACAAGTATGGTTGACGTCATTGGTGAATATTTTTAGCGGAGGAGCTTCAACTCCATTCTACTTGAAGAAGGTATTAATAAATCTCTATTAAGAAATTTATTTAAAGGACCTACTAGATTTTTATTTGAGTTAACGTAATTCCTTATAAAGTCGTATTTTAGATTCATATGTCTAGGCTTTCTGTTGTATATCTCATTTTATATTTATTGCATAAGACAGATATTCGAAGATGTATTTCTTGGTCCCAATGTTATCTCATATAGAAGATCCTTAAGCCACTCAGATTATTTCCTAGCGTTAGCTAATGCTACGAATTCAGATTCCATCATTGAATGTGTTATGCCTGTTCATTTATTAGACTTTCAAGAAATTGCACATCCTCCAAGAGTAAACTTCAACCTGAAGTAGATTTACTCTCTCGCATAGCTAGATATCCAATTATCATTAGTAAAAATAGTCAAGAATTTGAAATATTATAGACCTAGGTTTTTCATTTCTTTAAATAATTAAGACCTCTTTCAATGACCTTACAATGTTCATTGCTATGATTACTCGTAAACCTACAAATTTACTAATTGTCAAATGCTATATCTAATCTGCTCGTTGAACTGCATACATAAAATTACCTATAGCACTTGCATATTCTAGTTGAGCAATTGTCTTTTAACATTCTTTATGCGTTTGGAGCTTGAATCAAAGAAAGGGGTATTAAACTCTTTAATGTTCAAGTGATTGAACTTATTTATCACATTTTCAATATAATGTGATTGACACAAGTAATAGCCCACACTAGTTTCTATAATTTTGAAACCCAAAATGATATCTACTTATCCAAGATCCTTCATCTTGAATGTGGAAGATAGAAATTTTTTTATTTCATTTTTCCCGTCCATGTTAATGCTCAAATTTTTTATAACAAAAATGACATTTTGTAGCATACAAAAGGCAACATTTGTTAATTGAGTGTTACTAAAAGGTTCTATCTTAATATTCTAATAAGTCTATGTTGCCATTTGTTAACATAATTGAGATTTGGTAATATTTCTTAAGTACATGTTGCTAATATTTTATTTTGCAACATTCCTCCGCTGTTACAAAAAAATTTTATATTTCGCTTTTTTGCAATGTCTAGTGAATGTGATCAAAAGCTCATCTTATAGTAACGTTTATTGCATGTTGTTTAATAGTTAATATGTTGCTCTTTTGTAATGTTCATTGACTACTGTGGAAACATACTCTTTAGGAACATTCGTTGCCTGTTGTAAAACTCTTTTGCAGTGACTATATTTAGCAACGTTCGATGCCTGTTATTGAAACTATTAATATGACTTTGTTTGCAACATTTATTCACTGTTGCAAAACTATACTTTATCGCAACATATGTTAGATGTAAAATCTAATAATAATTACTTTTCACAACCCATCAAGTGGATCCTACCAGACCCAAATAATTTAGCCTGCCAATTTTCTCGAACAATCTTAATTTTGCCCAAGTGAATCCGACTCGACCCAATAGAAAAACCCATCAAAATTAGGTTCAAGACATTATCACTATAAAACATTGTGGAAATTACACAATAACCTACCTTAAAAATCATGTACTCTAAAATCAGATGGGTAGTTTAATCTTTC